GATAGGTTTCTCATCATTAGTTTTTGAACGTGATTGGTTCTTGAAGGTGAATTCGGAAATCGAAGCGAACATTCAGGTGACGAGAGAGATCGAATCAGAGATCGGAAAGTGTTCAGAGATTGAATGGGCTTTGTTTATCAAAGAATCTGAGCTTACGAGATCGTTCCTTAGTTCTCAGTTCGAAATCAGCGGCTTGATCTCCGTCACAGGTTCACTTCATCCAAATTCCTTACCATATTTCTCCATGAATCTGAGCTGCTTTTCAGTGATTGACTTGTCTATGTTTTGTTTCCTTAAAGACGATTCAAGAAACTCTCTGAAGCTATTGGAGGATGAGATTTGTGGCCTGAGAAATGAACACAGTGAGCTACTTAGAAAGTTAAGGGAGAAGCGGTAAAATAATCGATTCTCTGGCTACTTTGATCAGTATTTGTGGTCAAAGGATTAAGAATTTGGTATGGAATTTTGTTTCCTTAGGGAAGGTTTTGTGAAGATGTGTACTGAATTCCAGAGGGAGATTAGTGTTGATGAAGGCAGTGAACTAAAGAGTATATTGTTGGAGAAGGAGTTTTTGGAGAATGAAGTTGGATTGTTGGAGCAAAAGAACATTGATGTGAAGAATTCGATTTTGGCATACATGGAAGATGAAATGAAGAATCTTTTGTCTGATTAGTGTTTCTGGAAATTTGGAATGTAAGTACACTTAGTCTCATTTGATCTTTAATTAAGAAAGTAAACGAAAACAAATTTTGTGAATATTGGTTATCATCTTAATCTCTTGCTTCTAATGGTTTTTTTATAATCAGCGGAACACATAACTTATTCTTGTAAATCTGGAGAATTTTGACTTATCGGAAGTTCTGAAATTCGGATTATTTGGTTTCGAAGAATTGTGACCAAATTTGGTTCGGCTCAGGTTAAGAACATAGCAAGACTGGTTCGAGTCAAAACCTGCTCTTATCTCTTCATCCCCTTTCTTTGCCTATGCATTTAGTCTCACTATCATTTTTCTCTGAGAAAATTGGCGATGTATTTCTCTTCCATAGGACTCTGCTAATCGTTAACTTGATTATTTGTTGGTTCATTCTTCTCTATTTGTTCTTTCTGCAACATTGCTTTATTTTTCTTGTTCGTTTGGCAGGCATAATTCATCTTGCGGAGGAGGACGATCAGCAATACTAATTTCCGGTACTGAAACTATCTTCTTCTTTTTTGTGTCTCTAATCCATAGGAACCTTCCTCTTGACCTACTTGATGCTGCATTACTTCTTTTTATGGTTTTCTCTTTGATTTTTATTCATATTCGGTTTTGCTTGTTTGCTTTGATACTTAATAATGAAATTCAAGGTACATTTGTGTGGTTTTATAACCTTCAACTGCCACCATCTTACCAAATGAACTTTCCTCTGTATCATAGGATATGTTGCTTTTGATTTCTAAATTTTCATAATGATTTGAGTTTTAACTTAACCATTGAAATACAAACACATGTGAAAATTCGATAAAGAATATTGTAGGGGAATATTTTCCTAGTTATCTTGATCAGTGAATTTTTTGAACATTGGTTTTACCTAATTTGGTTGCAGAAAGCAGCTGCAATGTGGCTAAGGACTCTCTAATGCAATGCCACCAACAATATTCGGTCTGGGTGGCTGCGGGTTCTCAATGAGTGATCATCAACAATAACATTTAACAGAGTAAAACGCGGGAGGTTTCTTCTATGCCAAGTCCTATGGTACAACCATAGAGATTGTTGAACGTAGAGATTGTGTATCCTGCAACTAAAAACTGATAGGTCCCAATTATGAGATCGACCAATGTTATCAAGAACAAACACAAAACACAAGTTTACTTCAATTTTCTATTCATATCTTTTTTCTAAGAACACTTGTGACTTTTAAATACACAATGAAGATAATTAGCAAAAGAGTCATGGATCCTACAAACTAGGGAAATGGGATAATGGGGAAAAAGAAAACACACTTCAATAATTCTAAGAAATAATAATGCAATAAACCATCTTGGTCTTGTTGATCCAATGGTGCCGGTGGTTTACGTCGGTTACGGTCTCATCAAAAACCAATCCTTTTGTAACATTCTCAAGCGCAATTCGCTTGATATGAAAGTAATGTACTTACATAATTACATAATAGTAACCTAGTATTTGTTGTTTAAGTTAAAGACTCAAGAGTATCGTATAATGAGTTGCACATATAGGCACATAGTGAAAACTGAAAATAGAAGTAGTAAGCCATGAGAAATTTAAAAAAAAAAGGATACTTTTCAAGTGCCACTTTACAAAAATACCACATTTTTAAATCTTTACAAAAATGTCATTTTTTCAAAATTATTTTTCTTTATATTATTTATGTTTGAGTTAACTATGTTCTATTAGGGTTTAGTTATGAGGTGTTAGGGGGGGGTTTAGGGGTCAAAAACATAT